CCTTCCTCCCTCCCTCCCTCCCTCCCTCCCTCCTTCCTTCCTTCCTTCCTTCCTTCCTGTGGTGGGATTCAGCCACTTTGCACCAGTTCGGTAGAACTGGTAGCTAATTTTTTGTTGCCCAGGCCCAGAATGGACTTCCGGAAGCGGCATCCACACAGAGAACCGGTTGTTCGCCTATTTGAATCCCACCACTGGGCGATATGTAAGAAAGACCTAAGAAATGAGGCCCAGAGATGCTGCCTAGGGAATGGTCAGGTAAGAGAAGGCATAGCCTGCAGCTTCATAATGGGTAGAGAAAGAGGCTCAAGAAGAAGCCTAACTTCTCAGACTTTAAAGGTGATAGTGGGAGATTTGTACTTTCAGGCTTACAAGGTCCTGTTAATGTAGCCTTCCAATACTGCAGAATCACCTCATCCAATGATGTTTCCTATCTACCTAGAAAAGCTGACAGCCAATCTTTCCAAGCATCCTGCCAATGAGATTCAAAACTATAGCTTTAAACCAGTTTGGAGAACTTTAAGGGTTGGTACATGTAATGGTACAGGGGAATGATCTTGGTGTGTCAATTCTACAACAAAGTTAGCTGAAGCCATTTTCCCTTCATTTTCGGTTGCCACAGAATTGGGAGGGGGGATGAGTGTTTTATCTTAGACATAACAATAAATTGTTCTGTGGGAACCAAGGTCATTGCTAACTGCATTTTGGCAGGCTGTAACTTTCGTTAGAAAGCCGTGCAAGTAGTTAATTGCGGAATGTGATTTATGACATACTACTGGGGTGGGAAGTTTCACTTTGTAACTTTGTAACCTGGGAGGGGGGTGTTTCAGTCTTGGGTTCACTTTTGAACGTGCCAATATCATGTAGCCAAATAAATATGTTATTTAAGGATTTTGTTTTGCCTTGGAGTTCTTTTTGCTGCTCTCATATATCGGAACCATGACATTTGGGAGATAGGAGGAAGAGCCACAGATTTAAAAAATGGTTAGATAAGAAGCAGCTGAGCCTGCAGAAGGAATGGGAAGGTGGCAAATGTCTCAGAAGAGGTGCCTTATCAAGATAGATCGGAAGAAATCAGATCTATAAATGACAATAGGTAGGGAGAGATTTAATACATGGGAAAAAATTATTAACTCTCAATAACTTCGCAGAATGGAAAACTAGGCAGGAACAGACAATGCATTGGCATAATATTCCATGCAAAGTATAATTCAAATTAATTGATTGAATCAGCAGTGTGAGACTACTTCAAAACAAAATGGTGCAATGTAATTAATGATAATGGTAATGGAAGCAGAATCTCCAAGTCACAAAAAGAAATATTTCTCCTTTATACAGCACTTATTGGTTCTTCTCTTCCGCCCCTCTCAGAAAATGTTATGGGCAAAATGAATTAGTCCCACTGGAGACCACAAAGATCTTTCAATTAAAAACATGGAAAATGAAGCTATAGGTGGTAGGATTCTGCCACTCAGGAGGTAGAAAAGACCCAGGGAGCAGTGTAAAGTCTAATGGGAATGTATCACTGAATTGTACATTACAGTCTACAGTAAACTACCCAGAGTTGTTTAGATGAGATGGATGATACAACCTGAATTCATAATAATTACTCTGTTTGCACCTTTCATCTGAGTCTTGAATATGAAAACAATTTAACAGGAGAATTACGTTGAGGGTGAACAGTCTTTTTCTTGATGGAGATTTCAAAGAGAGACTGATTGTCCATCTGCTGGGATTGTTCTTCCCGGATTTTAGGACATTGAGCAGTTGGGTTCCACAAAGTCAATGATAGATCTCTGGAACATTTCCTGAACCGTTATTCTTCAGTTGTGAAGAGGTGCAAGACACAATGTCTGTGCATCTGTGTGTGCATGTATGAAAGTCTGTCCATCTATAACAGGGACACAAAAACAATGGCCTGGGGTCATATATGGCCTGCCAACATGTATTTTATACTCCTTAGAACAAAAGGATTGGCTCTTTCTTATTTGCATTTTGGAGAATTCTGAATGGGAGGGTCTATGCAATTGTATTTCTTAAAATGTATTTCTTAAAATTTCTTAGCCCAGATTTTTCTCCACCAGCACTAACTACTGGTCTGTAAACTGCCTCGCTTTCATTTCAGCATTCCCCCGGGTGGGTAGGTTTTAACGGGGTAATTAAAACATTACTTTAAGACTTGTACGGGTTTATTTCGACCAAATAAACCTAAAATAAAAGAAACCCGAATAAATTAATCGGAAACCTGATTGTCTGCAAGACGTAGGATAGTTTGAGGTCGTACCGTGTGGAAAGGTATCCTGCACAGGTCACGGGTAGTTAGAGAAACAGGAGTCTGCCTGATTCTTTATTCCACCCACTCTTTCTCCTGATCCTCAAGACACAATGAT